ACGGATCACACCAGAAGGATGTAAATAAATACCAGCTGTGAACCAAATTCATAATAGTGTTTGTTCCTCCCTTCATCCGCCACTCACGTCTCCTCTGATCCAATGAGCTTTGATCAGGCCTGCCGAGGCTCCGCCCCCACAGACTGGAGTCTGATGATTGACAGATCAGAGGGCTGAATGTGAGCGGTAACGTCAGTTCTTTTAAATCTCAAATTATGTTTTAAATTAAGCAAAACGCTGCACATGACTAGTGATGGACGAGTTAAATGATGTGGAGAGAAACTAAAGGCGTGAGCTCAAACATTAGAGATGAGGAATATCCCAACACAAAAAGAGCTGAATTGACACTCAGGTTTTGTCGATAATGTGACATACAGCATCCTGGCAGATCAAAGCTTCTGTCCATTACAGCTGGTGATGTTTGTCTGTGATGTTCATCCATCACAGCAGCGTCAGGAGAGCTTCAAACATCACTGACAGGCACAACACAGTCTGACATGATAATAAACATACATGCACCGCATTCATAATCATGTTGTGTGCATTACTGCTCAAAAGCTTAAAGAGATTAATATTTGTATTCAGCAAGGAAGCATTAAATTGATCAAACGTGAGGGTAAAGATTACAAAAGATTTCTATTTCCAATAAATGCTGTTCTTTTGAACTTTCTGTTCATCTGAGAATCCTGAAAAATAAAATGCATCACGGTTTCCACAAAAATATTAATGTTTTCAACATTGATAATAATCAGGAATATGTATTGAGCAGCAAATCAGCATATTAGAATGATTTCTGAAGATCATGTGACACTGAAGACTGGAGTAATGATGCTGAAAATACAGCTGCGCATCACAGAAATAAATTACAGTTGAACAGAGATTCACATAGAAAACAGCTGTTTTAAATTGTAATAATATTTCAAATTTTTACTGTATTTTTGATCAAATAAATGCAACCCTGGTGAGCAGAAGAGACTTCTTTCAAACATTTACAAATCTTAGACCCCAAACTTTTGAACGGTAGATTATGTATGTGTTCAAAATGATATATTAAATGTGATCCAGACCATGATGCCCAAACAAAAGCTCATGGAAAACTCCGTCACAAACCTCAGAGAAGTGTGAGAAACAACATTAGTGAACTTCCAAATCAAATATCTACACGTGGTGTAGACGAACGTCCTTGTGTGTTTTTCTCTCATTGTGTAACATATTAAACTAACCACCAACCACAGACAGATGACTGGTGCTGAAGAATAACAAAAAACAAACACAACAACAACACTAAAATGCATCATGAGCTGATGGAGAACGAGTGCGTCACTGATGAGAAACAGAGAGATTAAGCCACTGGAACGAACGCATGAGAGAGAAACTGAGTTTACCCACACAGACACAGAGAGATGAAGAAATACAGACAAACTGACTCATATACTCATACTTTTATAACAAGCAACAGATTTTTGTAGGCAAACAGGTGAATTAGTGTATTTCTTTTTTTGCTCAGTTCTTTTAAATGTCACAGAAACACATAAATGTATTTGCACAGGAATCATAATCACTGAATCACATACTTGAAAACTGCCTGCCAGTGTCAACAATCAACTTAAAGGGATAGTTCACTCAAAAATGAACATTTGCTTAAATGTCCTCATTCTCAGGGCGGCAATGCTACATTTCTCCAAATCTGATGAAGAAACAAACTCATCCTAATCTCGGCTGGACTGAGGATGAGGACATTTTAGCAAATGTTAATTTTTGAGTGAACTATTCCTGATGCAGCATTTACACAGAACCAAAGCCACAAGCTTCGTGCAGTTCTAAATGCGACTATAAAGCAGTATTTTAATCAGTTACATCTATAACAAATGTCTATAACGATGCAACATAGACATGCTTTAAAAAACAACAAAAAACAGTGTTGCCATTTTTATCAGTGCATCAAGCAACTTACAAGTTTTCCACCTAAATAAAAGGACAGCACTTGCATTGAATGTTTAAAATGACGTTCTCCCAAATCAGATGAAGACGCTGAAAAACTTCTCAGCTTAAAGTTGAGAAGTTATCCAATACTTTCAGTCGAGGAAAAGTAAAACAAAAACTACATGGTGCACCTAGAGATGTAATTCCTCCGGCGCTGAGCTCAGCACTAAAGTTTAAAATAAAATACTGGCATGTTCTTTGGCTTCAGCTCAAATGTTCATCATCATCATCATCATCTGAAAATAACATTTTGGTCCCAATTCAGTGCAGTTATTGTTAAAACAACAAAAAAATAGACCACCACAGCAGTGACTGTAAGAGCAGTATGTTCTGTACTTCAGCATAAATATCTACAAGATCTATTTCATCATTCTTTCATATTTATCATATTCTGTTTTTGCATTAGCATGTGTTAATTTGAATTAATCTGAAAACACTGAACTTTCCATCTGCACTTGAGCCAATGCAGAAAAACAAACACTGAGAAAAAGACACGGACACATTTCAGCCGCACAATAAGGACGTTCTGATGCATGGAATTGCATTAAAATACAGTCTGCGGGTTTCGTTTCCACTTCAATGAGTATTTGGGGTTTAAAAATAGCTAGATTTGCAAACTGAGTGGATTTTGAAATTCATAACGCTTCCTAACCAGATCATTAATATAGTTGGTTGCATCTTTGTTTCCTAGATGAGATTTTGCATGCGCTCTGATTCGCACATTTCAACTCTACAGATTTCTAGAGTTTGCCTGCAGCTCCAGATGAGTCCTGGTCAATCCGGCTCATCTTTCAAACCATCACCTTCATTTGATGTGTTATATAGCGGAAGGAATAAAGATATAAACTAGTCAAACAAACACGAAAGCAGGACCGTAAACTACAAGCGGCACAAAATCATATGATTGTCTCAGTTTGAATCAAATTTCCATTTAGAATGATTGAGAACATTAATATCACTATAATAACCCTCAGTGTCATTTTAGCATTATTTATGTAAAATTATATTATTTATTCATATTTTGAATTAGCTTTTTATTTTTATATTATTGCTACAAATATACCCCAGCGACTTAACACTGCTTTTGTGCTCCAGGGTCACATATTTTACTTTTAATGTGTTTTTGCCATTTTTATTATTTTTTAAACCTTTTTATTAACTTTATTTTCAATTCTGTTTTAGTAACATTTTTCATTTTTCATTTAAAAAAAAGTTTAAAGGGGTCATATGATGCTGCTAAAAAGAACATTATTTTGTGTATTTGGT